ACGAATCTTGATTAAATAGGTTTAAATTTGGCATTATTGAATACATTTTCCAAATACTTTGATATACTATATATGAACTAGAGATATTTGGGGCAAAAACATATATTTAGTGAGACTGGCTGTAGAAAAGACAAACTGACCATGATGTACTGCATTTGAAGAACCAAACTCATATTTCACTTCACTTTAGACAGAAGCTACAAAGTCTACTCATTGGCAATTAATGGCCTCTGGCTCATGCTAGATAAGTACCACTTTTACAAGAGCTCAGAAAGAAACCTGTTTTGGTTGTCATAATCCAACCAAAATTGGCAAAACAACTTGGGCACCTTATGAAGCTCTCAAACTGGGGCTACAAAAATGTATTTAAGTTGTTCATAACACTCATGACCCATATTGGCTCAAATTTCTAAACAGAATAAAATAACAAAAAATAAATTAATTAACAAATTCCATGATGTAAACTGCACATGTTTCAATCTAAAGCCCAGCTTTCTGCTTCTTAGCTGTCTTGAAACCATATTTCAAAGTCAAAAACAAATTAAAACGGAGGAAATATTTGTTGTTTAATCACCACTACTTCAAAACAATTTGAGTTTTTAAACCGATAGGTCAACTCTTTAAAGATAAAAAGTTGGATTCTAAACAATCAAACAGTAAACACTAAAACAGCAATGCTTTTGAAAACAGCTCCATGGTAACTCTGGAGATGCTTCAGAGATCCAAGATGGGAAGACTTTTTGTCTTGCACTCAAAAACTGTTGCTATTAATGGAAGAATGGCAATACAAAAGTAGCAAGATGTTAAACTTTCACTTAATCAAAAGCCATGAGCAGAAACAATGAATAAATGAGACCTAAATTAAAGTAGCAAAGTGTAACTTTCTGCCACTATGAGGCGCTAGATAAGTAACTTTCAGTTTTAGTTCCCGTGAAATTAACTGGCAACACTGCACTGAGGCAAAATCCAACGTGTTTTGGAATCTGGTAGCAAAACACTTTGCATTTGAGACATGAAAGAGTTACTTGTAAAGACAAAAGCACATTCATCCCTCTAGATTAAATCCTACATCAGAGAACCTTCATTAGCTGATCAAAAGGGTGTCATATGGGTTTTGTTTCCTAACAACAGTTTTTAGTTTTGCTAGCTCTCTTTTTTAAGTGGAGCTCAGACTGCCATAAAGGGGCAGTCAGGGTCACACGACTCATTTAGTGACAGATCAGTCTCTCAACTTTATTCTTTCTCAAATCAAACTCATACTTGGGTCAGAAGTTACAAATGGTTGCTTTAACCTCTTTTTTTTTCCTCTAAAAGAAAACCCCATGGGGTCCATCCCAACGCTGCTGGCAGCATCTTGCTGCAGAGACAATTTGGTTCCACTCTAGTCTGATAAAAGTCTATAAGAAGATGTCTACAGCCAAATAAAGGGTAAATCTGAAAAAGAAAAACTTGACAAAGTGGAGTTTAAAGAGTTGAAACTAGAGCAAGGTTTCTCTTTCAACAGGAAACCAACCCTACACAAGTTGTAGAAATGTTAAGGTAATTAATATCCCAAGATATAGCTGTAGTTCCAACTAATTGTGATTGAACAAAGTCTTGAGGACCTGAATACAAATACAATTAGGGTTTTATTATAAAATAAAATGTTAAAACCATGTACCAATATTCCTGATAAAACGTAACTCCAGAGGCAAGTTGCTGAACAAATACTCAAGTTTGTTTTGAAGAACTGATCATGGAGGGCTTTCTATGGCTGGAATCAACAGAGTCAAGTCAGTTTATCTTCTCCAAACCTTGCGGCAGCGCTATACGAAATCTTCCAAAGCAACTATAGAGTGATCCTCCAGGGTTAAAGTGTTCCTCTGATTCATCTAATCAGATGTATGTTATTTAGGTTCATGTTACAGTCCAAAGCACAATCAGCTTTGAGACATCCTGTTTACTCTAGGCTGAACTCTTATCGTGTTCATAGTTAATCAATTTTCTATTTCTCACGCAACAAAAATCTAAGAATACCAAAATTATTTGACAGTGGCAAGCCAGTCTCCTGGTGAATCTATTCGTTTACAACAGGCTGCATTGCTTTATCATGAAGAAAGCCTTTGAGAATATTTAAATATAGAGCAGACAATGCACAAAGGTTGATTGCTATGCAGAGTAATATCCTCTCTGAGACACAGAATGAGGGTCTGTGGGGAATTGGTTCACAGGGCATCCCCTATGAAACTTGCAGTTCAGTGAACTTCTCTCTCTACATTAAGAGCCACTGAAGTCGCACAAAGGAGCGGCTCCAAATTAGGAGCACAAAGGCGCTTCTGTGAGAGATTCAGAGTGAATTAATGAGCATTGATACACTTTCTCACAGCACTCTTCCCTACAGCCTCTGCTCCAGCATGAGGAATAAACACCAGCTATTAAAAGATTAACAAACTCTGCACAGCCATTTGAAATGATACAGTTATTAAATCAATTTGTTCTGATCTATATGTACTGCGTCTCAGTTTACTATAGTTTCAACATGACTGGAAAGTTTCCGGAGTGATCTGGAACACAGATGGTCAGCACTTGGAGTTCATTTAAATCTGGAGCAGTTTTCTTTGGAACTTCGGATTGCAAGTGTTCAAAACATGGAGGCCTCAAGATGCTTCCAATAACGCAAACATAAAACTAAAAATATTTTGTTTTTGCTTTGGGAAATATCACACTAATGTTTTACCTTCATAAAAATCACTGCAATGCCAGACCCAATCCAATCTTATCACATTTAAGGGGGGAAAATTTTACTGTCAAACACAAAATGTCAAAAGGTTAAAAGATTAGGTTAGAAGAAAGAACAGCTGCTTGGAAGAAAAAGATAAAAAGGGGGGAAAAAGAGCAATACATTTTCAGAACAATTTAAAACATGGTGAATAACAACATCTAAAGCCAACATGTTCATTTGAGCACAAATGAGAAAAAGGTTTTAAAAAAGTTTGACTGACTCAAAGGCAATAACTAGCGCTTTCACACTACCACTTTCAGGTGCAGATCACAATAGCGTGAACCTATCTCAGACCTCAAACAAACCACAGAACAGAACCCTGGCACAGTTAGAAGTGCCATTCTGGGCACAGTTTATCCGGAAGAGAGGCTGTGGCTTAAAAGCAGCACATACAAGAAGAACAAAATGAGGAAAAACAAAGTAAATGCTTGAATCCAAAGATGAAAAAATCTTATGGGGCCAAAAGGAGTGGGCTACTGAAGGGGTAGCAGCAGAAATCACATAAGGCAGTCTTTCTTCAGGGTCCCCCCCCGCCCCCTTTTGATTAACACAACACTGAACCCAAAACAATCAATTGCAACTGTCAATAACAAAATGGGTAATCTAGGTTATTGCTTTTTATTTTTTAGTCAATCAATGTTGTGCCCTTATAACTTATTTCAAATGCAGGCCCGTTAATATTTTTGAAGCAGGGTCTGGGCATTTCGCACAATCGCCATTTCAGACTTTTTGGTCGGCTCATTTGTTTTTCCTACGTACGATAAAAAGACACCCTCTTTCAAAGACAGTTTTATTGAATATGTGCCTATTTCTACCCACCTGGGTAGAAATGAAGAACTGAAATTAAGCTTGCATTTCCTTCTTATAATAATCTGACTCAAACAAGTGATGTAGAAAGATGTCTCTTAGAATTAGTTTTTGTTTGTTTCGTTTTCTGGCTAAAATGGTAGCGCCTGGTTTGGGGGAACGTGGGTTTCTGTGCTAAAGCCATTAATGGTGGAGGTCTCCCTTACCCAGACCAAATATAATAATTGATTAACACGGCTTTGTCCAAAGGTAAGCAATGTTACCCATAAAATAACTGTTTTCAGTGCTTTTCCTCCAAAAAGTCTTCTCTCACTCACACACAAATTGTGACCAAATACCATTAATGAAACTAAACCAGTCAACGTCAATAAAATATGACATAAAGGGGATGTAAAGATTGTGATTGACCTTTTTTAAAAAAAAAAATAAATAAATAAACTTCTTTGGACCAAGGGTTTAGGTTTGGTGGAGTTTTGATATGCCTGTGAAAATTCTCAGTCATCCAAGTTATTTAGAAACTACTGGACTTTCGCTCAGTTTTTCTGCATCAAAACATTTGCAGAAAAAGTCCAGTTGCCTATGATCTAAGCCGATTTTGTGGGGCCTATGACCTTTTTTATTTTTTCAAGCTGTATCTGTTATCTTCCCAACAATCCAAAGAATGAAGCAATTCACTGTGAAATCAACTCATTAGTTATCTTTGAAAGGGTAAAACACCATATAAAAAGCAGTCACTAATCAAAAGAGCAAAACAAACATTTTGGATCTCTGATCAGCCCAAGGGAATCCATGTCAAACTGACCCAAGAAGGAACCAATATAAGCAGAAAAAGGCTGTAATATATATGCACAAGAAATACAAGATTTTACTAAAATTAAAAGTGAAATTAAAGCAAATTTCAATCAAAATATGGGAATAAATGGGAATCCAGGGAGTTTATTATTGGTTTTTTTTTTTTGTCTAGGAGCGCCACTGAAAAAACAACCAGATCTAAACACTAAAGCTCAATAGATAAACGATGATACAGGGCGTTGACGAAATTAAAACTTTTTACTAAAAGTTTTTAGCAAAATTGAGCGTCTTGGTGTCATTTTTGTTTATCTTCAGGAGGCAGTGAAGACAGTCCGCTGACCTGGAGTCAACACCTCCACACACCCGCTCAGAGTTGACTGAGGGAATCTCCATAATCTCCCTAATCGCTGTCCTCAACATGTAGGTTGCTCTAATGCCGATCCTTACGAAAGCGGGTCAGATAAACAGCCCGATTCTGCTTCACCACTAAATCTGGACTCCTGTCAAACACAATCGGCGCGTCCCCCCAGTAAAAGTTTGACGCGCTGCGCGTTATAACCCACGCTGGAATCTCAAAAAAAAAATCTGTAAGAGCTACTAGTTTCAAAACTTTACTATTTTTTTTCCTTCAAAAACTTACCCATTGTTAAAGTTTCCGAGTGGACACGAGGAGAAAAGCGATGAGCCGAAAAGTTGAGCTTCAACTTTGGTGACGCCGAGTCCTGGGATGCGCACACTGACCGCAGATCGCTCCGCTCCCACTCTCACCAACTGCGTCCCCGTAGAGGAGGCAGCGTGGCTGACGTCAACACTGAGGGGATTACTGATGGGAGCTTCGGCCTGGCCCCTCCTCACCTTCTCAGCCCCTCACCAAGACGTTTTGGACCATCATTTGTCATGCTGTCATGTGCGCAAAGTCCAGTCATTCCAGGATTATCACACACCAGATGAGCAAATACATTGATTTATGTCCAGATTGGAATCTACTGCTGAAGCAGAGCGTCTTTTGTTTGTGCTGCAGTAAATTCATACCTCTTGAACTTTTTTTTTTTTTCATAATGCTATAGCCAAACGAGATTTTCTGAGCTAGATCAACTTCAAAAAGTTTGCAACATGATCTGGAAAGTGAACTGGACATGGGCGGTTCTAGACAGGGGCCAACAGGGGCCCTATAGATCATTTCCTAGCCCCTATTATGGCCGCTCTACTGAATACTCAAAGAATTTCTAATGATGAGATGCAGAGGTGTCAAGTAACAAAGTACAAATACTTTGTTACTGTACTTAAGTACACTTTCTAAGTATCTATACTTTACTCCATTACTTATTTTTCTTCCTACTTCTGACTTCTACTCATTACATTTTCACACAAGTATCTGTACTTTCTATTCCTTACATTTTTAAAACAAACGTTACTGGTTACTCTTGGCTTCGGTTTAATGTTTATAAATATTTATTTCATGTCATGTGCGTCATCCAATGCAGATCATTGGCACCATCCACATCTAGTGAACAATAGTGTAATCGGATGAGTCATAGAATTGAAACAGTTTAGCTATTCGTCAAATTAGTGCTGACTGCACCAAAGGAAAACATCAGAAGCAAGCAGGTGTTCTTCAAACTTCAAACGCAAATTGTCTATGCTATGATACAATGTCGGATTCAGAAAAAGTTGGTGAAATATCTAAAAGGTCGGACACAGGCAAGAGCGTATCGGGAGACCAACAAGACCTCCCTCATCCTTGGCCCTATCTCAAAGAATTTCTTGAAATATTTGAATAATTTAGCTTTCATTTCATATAGTGGCATCTGGCTGTTTTTTTCAAAGGTTACTTTATACTTTTATACCTTAAGTAGTTTTTGGAGCACATACTTTTTCACTTTTACTTGAGTAAAGAGGTCAAGTTAATACTTCAACTTTTACCAGAGGGTTTTCAAACTGCAGTATCTATACTTCTGCTTAAGTAACAAATGTTTGTACTTTTGACACCACTGATGATATGTGCTGAAACAGATTACTGGCAGGTTACTGATAGGTCATTTGGATCTATTTCATATGTTTTCTTTACAAATTCAGTTTACTAATTATTTAAAATCCATAAGGTGATAGCTTCATTGGTATTGAGATAGGATCGCAGTTTTCATCTGCTAAATGTTTTTTCAAACCAAATTTTAAAAATGCTCTAATTAAGATTTTATTTAAAAAATGGTAATTTTAACTCCAATTAAGTCAAAAATATGTAAAATTCCTAAATTATGAGTGTATATTGACCTAATAAGAACTATCATTTTAATTAAACCTAATTGAATAGAAATTTTATCTCATGCAACTATCTTATTACATTTGAATCCCTTGCCCTGTTTTTTTTTTTATTTCATTCTTTCTGTGCCCCCATAAAAACACACTGGCCCCCTGGTACATTTGGTCTAGAACCGCTGCTGGAACTTGATTTATCTAAATGTCCTTGTACAAATAGGTTACACATCTTAATGTAAAGTCCAACATTTAATGCATGTCAGAGTGCAAACACCAAGCATAAAACAAAAAAATTGGTGGTAAAACTGAAGAGATGATTTTCTAAAGGCACAAATCTGGGGAAGGATAAAGAACAAATTCTGCTTCTTTGAAAGTCTAACAACACAGTGGCCTCCATCATTCATAAACAGTAAAGGTTTGGATAAGGCAAGTTCCTAGAGCTGGCTTACCATCTAAACTGAGGGGGAGAAAGATCCCCCATGGTCACTCTGTCAAAGCTCCAGTGTTCCCTGTGGATAAAGAAGAACATTTCAGAAGGAAAACCCTTTCTGAAGCTATCCACAAAAGCTACTCCTCAATAAAAAGCATGTGAGAGCCCATATGTAGTTCTACAGTCTCATCTTTCCCATGGTCATTTTCCCTGTCTTGTGTGTCTCAACCTCAACAGAACAGCTGGATTTAAGCAGAGATTAAATTACATGCAGATTGATTCTATCTACTAATCGAATTACTTCTGATGGCAATTTGTCGCACCGGATTTAAGAGTAAATGCAGCTTAAAACCAATTCAAGTCAAAGTTTTTTAGTTTTTATTTGTTAAAAAAAACAACGTATAATTTTCCTCCTAATTTACCAATACTTTGTACTTTGTGTTGCTCTTTCACATTAAATCCCACTATATTATGCCGCAGATTAGGCTAAAAAATTTAAAACTAGTTAAAGCCATGAATAATTTATGCATGGCACATTGTTAAATAACAAATGAATGGCTGTTGTTCAAACAATTAGTGGATGCCAACTAACACCTATGTCTACAGATTATGTCGGAGTTTTTAAAAGAATCTACAATATGTCTTTCAGGACATACACTGAAACTGAATTTTAACCACTTGGTTGTTTTTTATTTTAGAAAAATAAAGGAGCCCTTGCTTTGCAATGCTTTAAGCTTCTATTAGTCCATTTCTGAAGATATTTTTTGGCCCCATTTTCACATCTGGATTTGAACTTATTCAGAGATCGTAGGCCCCACTGTCTCCATGGCCCTTAGTCTGCAGGTTTCTTCCCCTGTCCTGGAAAATTCAGCTTTACGCAGACGGAGGCAGGAAAAATAAACCTCCTCGGTCTCCAAAGAGACATAAATAAGAAACATAGAACCAACACAATGAAAAAAAATGACTATAGCTAAAATATAACGGACAATGATAAATACAATGAGACACAAGGCACCCTTAAAGTGAATCAAAATGACCACAAATACATTAAAAAGATATAAAGCGATATGAAGCATCCCAAATGAGCCACAAAATGACCAAGTTGGCTGCAAAAGCATTCAAAATAATAAAAAACGAGACATTAAACCACCCTGGACAGATGCATAATGATGCTTTTTATAAGTCAAAATAGCAGAAGTATATAAAAAGACAGACTCAGCACATTAATATTTTCTATAAAGTCAAAATAAAACATAAATTGCAAAATCGAAAAAAATCCCCAAAATATGACATGCATGGTAATGAGATGAAACATGTGATGTGTAAAGCTACAAAATACAAGAATAAATTAGACCAGTGACCAAAGGTTTTATAGACCGAAACTTTGTAAAACAAACTGAACAAACTAAACAATATTGCATCAAAAATCTAAATGAAACAAAAAAGAAAGACAAAATGCCAAATGCTATTAAAAAAATGGACAATCCTCTTACTCATATCCCCATTCTGCAGATCCTTTGCTTTCTGTAAAGAGCTTCCATGTTTTAAACTGCAGTAAAATACTTTTTTTTTACCCTGTGGGGACAATTTTCCCAGAAATTTGTTACGTTTTAGGGACTTATAGGCACGTGTTGGGACCAACGACTGGTCCTACTGAGGAGAATTTCCCTTCTTAGGGTGGGGTTTAGGTTTAAGACTAAGGTATGGATTTATGTTAAGTTAGGTTTAGGGTTACCGGTAGGTATGTGTTGCTAATGGTTACAGTTAAGGAAATGGTCTAGGTTAGGTTATAGAAATGAATGCAATATGAATGAAAGCCAATGCAAAGTCCCCACAAGGATCGAGTGTCACCATATGTGTGTACAAGCTATAGCTAACAAATCATCTTATAGTTTAAACAAAAGCTGAAAATGTATATTCTTGAAAAAAATACACAGTGCAGATTCAGAAAGAAAAATATATATTAATAAAGACGAACAGCAATTTTTTTTTGTTAAAACAATTAATATAGGTAATAAAAAAGACACAAAAACAACCATCTTGGACAGATGCTTAATTATGCTTTTTATAGGTCAAAATAGCAGAAGGATATAAAAACACAGACTCAGCACATTAACATTTTCTGTAAAGTCAAAATAAAGCATACATTTGGAAAATGAAAAATATTTCTAAGATGTGACACACATGGTAATGAAATGAAACATGATGTGCACAGCTGGAAAGATCCAGAATAAAGTAGTTCAATGACCCAACGTTAAATAGACCGAAACTTTTTAAAAACAAACTGGACACGAAGTTCCTCAAACTTTACTGAATTGCACCCAAATTAAGCAGGATATGAATAAAAAAAACAAAAAACGGACAAAATTCCAAATACTTTTCATAAAACGGGCAATCCTACTGATACCCCCTAATACACAAATCCTATGCTTTTTATGAAGAGCTTCAATGTTTTAAATGTAGGTAAAAGATGTGAGAACAGTATGTGTGTGTGTTTTGGAGGAGGATACAAAAAAAACAACGATAAAAAGGCTCTGCTAAAAACATATTTTCCTTCCTTCTTGTCCCATCCCTGCTCGATCCAACACCTACAAATCTAGAAAATAAAATCTGTATTAGGACATCTGGACAGTGTAATTTTTGCTGTTGAATGAGGATTTCCTATTGAAAATGCTGTGGGTTACTGTCATTATTTAGACAGAAAAAAAAATGAAAAAAAGACCCACGGCAACACCATTATGATTCTTTTGTTGTTCAAGCTGAATATTCCCAGCACACATTAGCACGGCTTGTACCTTTACATCTCAAGTATCTGTGATGTGGAAATGGCTCAAGAAAGAGTTTTCCTTTAACAAATCTGCTTTAAATACACAGACCTTTGAATTTTAATCCTGTTTGAATATCTCATGCTTGATGTTAATTCTGTAAATGATGAAAAGGCAGGCTTTTCACCTAGTAAACGAGGCCTTAAAAGCAAACAATACCAATCACCATCAGTCTAGTGTGCTGGTATCCGGTACCCAAAGAGGCCTGAGTCCCCCTCCCCTCCGCTTAATCAAATCCAATCTTTTCAATGCAGGCCAAGTGGGCAGTTCTCACTGTTTGGTTTCACAGTCAAACAGGGAATCTTCCCCATAT